AAAGAAATGGGGTCAAGCTAGAGTAAAGATCCACCAAGAGAAAAATATTAAAAATTAGAGGTTGTCCATGTGCTACATATAAATGGAGTGAAGGTTATCATGAAATTTTATACTCTAGTTCATGAATTTTCTGCTACTGTTCCTCTCTTGCTTGTCTTAGTGGCATAACAAATTCCTTGAAAACCCTGTTAAAATGTGCAACCTGATCAAGTGCTGAATGATGCTGAACTGCAGTCTCAAGATTTTGCTCTCATGCTATGACTTCATTTTTAGACCTCTCTCAACTAGCAACAACCTCTTCTGAAACTTTGGCAGATTGCTTAACCAGATCATTTCGGCAGCAACATTTAAACGAACTGCTAATAACTACTCTGCTAGCCACCTTATGTTACCATTAGCTAGGGATGTAACACTGGGAGATTGATAATTATTATTAGTAGATTCCTGAAAAACATAGGTTCATATGACCTACCACTCAAATATTCAATTTTTTATCAAGGCATATATCACAACCACAAATCATAATCAGAAACCCACAAGGTCCATAGTTTGTACCAGAATGAAGTCATCAGATTAGTGTATGTTTTGTAACGCTCCAATTGGAAGCATCAGCCACACAATAATTTCTTAGTCATAAACCTCAAAAGTTCAAGCACTAGTTATTAGTAGTGAATAATTTAAATCCAAGCATCAGTAACAATTTTTTACGCCTAAACCTTTGTCCATAAAAAACCTAAGCTCAAATTATTAGTAGTAAGCAACTTAAAGTATCGTATAGAGCTTACAATTATATGCTTTTCCAATGTGACATTTATGTATCAGATCTAGCCCTAGTTTCTTACTTTTGAGAGTTTTGTTAATTCTCTTACCCTAATTAGCATAAAACAATTCCTATTTGGGCCTTATTTTAAACTTCTAACATTGAGGAATTGGTTTCTTATCTAGTTTATTCCTACAAAACTCAATTTCTTATTTCATTTCATTCCTCATAAGTAACTCAACATAATTAAACTCTTTTTCGTAAAATTTAAACCAGGAACCAATATAGACTTCACTCTTGAGAGAAATTTGCCTTTTTTCTTCTCTTGTGGGACCCAAACTACTGCTTTTCCACAGCTATGAGATCTGCTTCTCTTGCTGCAGCACCAATAAGTTACTGTTTCATGAGGGCAACTGATAATGGACCATAATTAACATAGCTCAGCTTCCTGTTTCATTTTATTCCTAAATGACTCCTTAACTGATTAACATCTTTGTGCTAACTATGCCTAAACTAGGAACCAACACAGGCATCATAGTAAAGGTCAAAAAGTTAGTTTCTTCTTCCTCTAGGGGGGGCCTAACTACTGGTTTTTTCCTCACAATTGTGATTTACCTCTTCTGGAGCCGTCTTGTGTTCAGCAATTTTGGGGCATAACATAGTCTAGTTGCCAACCCTAGTCTGTTGTAAATCACTGTATGTTACCATCATTTCTGCACAACTAACTAGTATTCTATCAATTTTAACTTCCGTTTGGCTTATTCAACAATTATGATAACCATGTCCGGCTTCCACCATTATCTATAAGCAAAAGAAAATATATATGACTGGATAGGACACTTACAGGGCACCACCTCCAGCTGGACCAGCTGCTTTGAAAAAAGACATTGCTGTCATAGCAAGGCCATTAGCAGCTCCTCTTTGGTCTTGGTCCTTTTATTTCATATGTAAGTAACTTGACATTAAACAAATCAGAAACTTGGAAGAGTAAAATTCGAAATAAACTGGAAAATACTTACCACGGCTCTGTTTTGCAGAACGAATAAGCCAGTTATAATGGACATCTGATAAAAGAAAATTAAACAAAGTGTTTTAAAAAGTATAAAATTCAAAAGCTTGTTTCTAAATAATGAGGTTATATACACATCATTAACCACAAATGTCCATAATTAACACAGTTCTCATGGCAAACAGATACCATTTTCATGGCTTCAATATCTTAAACTATATACCTTATCATCTTTAGTGGACTTGATCTTCCATTTTATAAACAGTTACACTTTCTTTAGCAAAGCAATCATAGGACCAAATTTCAAAATCTAAATATGGAAGTAAATTTCAACAAAAAGAAAAAACAAATCAAAAGATTAATTTAAACCTGTAATTTTCTGAACTCAATTGGAAAGGAAAGTGATGAGCATAGCACAACTTAAGGTAGATGAATCTAAGTTTATAACAAAAGAAAGGACAAGAAATTGGAAATAAGAAAAGCATAAAAATCTAGATCCTCAAAATATCATGGCTAGTGAGTAAAAAATCATAAAACAGATCAAATACAAAATTAGAAAAGAAAATAATACTGTTATTAGCTGTATAGATCAATTAAGAAAAGTCTCTTTCAGTCAAAAATAAAAGTTTCTTCAAATTGTTGTGCTTACACTTAAACAGTTCTTTGTTACGGACGCACAATTCAACAATAAGCTAAGGCTGAACCCAGACAACATCCCTATAAAAGGGTAGCTTGCCAGAACAGGTACACTCAGGACCTGCATAGACATAATGTTATTGGGAAATTAAACAGACAACCTTGAAAGGAAAGTAAATTATATCTTTAAAGATAAATAGCAAAAAGTAAAGAAGCTTTGCTAAACCTACAGGGTGTTAGAATTTACCCCTGCAATACGGGCCACCACTATTGGCCCAAGAAGCCTTTCCAGATAAGAGTATAGAGAGAGCTGGTGGACGAGAAGGCTGAAACCTAGAGTTGAGAGAAGAGAGCATTCAGCATTGTTTTGACATTCATGTTTAAAGAAAAAAAAAGGAATATTTAGGTTATCATCAAGGAAGATTCATTGTGCCTTGAAAAACCCTTAAAAGAAATTTCTTCACCAGAATTTGTTACTAGGACATCTTTAATATAATTGAGTAAGAATTAACTAGTATTTTCTTTTGACCACTGCCGGGTTTGGCCTAGAGGTAGTGGGTCCCAAGGGTCATAAGTTAGTTAACAATGAAGAAAAATAATGGTAAGAGCAACAATGGAGTTTGAAATTTTTTTTAAATAAAAGAGTTCTCAAAGTAATTATATTCTTTGTGCTTGATTATTTCACAAATGCATACCTCTTACATATTTTCATTATTGAACACATGTAAATGCATATAAATTTAGACATGAAAATTAAATATATTTTCATGTACCAAATGGAGCCTGAACTTCAAAAGATTTGATGAAAATTTGACATGTTGGAAAGCAATTTTGTCTTCTCAAACTCATAACATATTTTAGCTATCATTTCAAAACTTGACCTACTCATTTTTTTGGTAAATATATACATGAAAGCTTTCAACAATTAAACATTGTGTCTTTTTCTCAACGCTGAAACTAAAAGTTTTTCTGATATTTATCTTAGGAACATGCTTAAAGATGTAGAAAAAAACTTGCCAGAATGCATTTAATTTCAAAATGCAACTCACAACTTATCACTACAAAAAAAAGAATGCAGTTGACTATAGTCCATGCTTAGACAAGGTCACAAGACCTTCGACACTGAAGTCACGAAATTTCCGGCCTTGTTGGCCTATTATGAGGTAAATCCTTGATTTACTCTCAAGAATAAACATTGATTTATTTCAATTAATGATAATGCTTTTAATAATAATAATAAACTTATTTGTAGGAAAACTAATCGTAGGTAAATCCTTATTATAACTCCAGAATTCTTAGATCCTGTTCTATTCTGAATCTAAATCCTAAGGCTTTGGTAGCCAATCCTAACTAAAACTCTTAAGTATCCATTAATGCTGTGCCAATCATTATCCAACAAAATCTGAATGAATGTAACCCCCCCCCCCCGCCCCCCACTTGGCTCTTTCTTATTACTTCCAAGGGACCTATGCTGGTAAGTCTTCCAATGAATTTGTCCAGCGACAATAGGTTCTACTGGGGAATAAAATTCTTCTACTCCCTGTCATGAAGCTTGTCTATAAGCTTTGGATATTTGCTGGCAACATCTTGGGATTGTGCAGCGAGACTCTTCTAGTAAGGCCAGTTGTTATATGACCAACCCTAGTAGTTCCAAGATTTCAAAAGGCAATCATGGAATGAGCATTTGATAAGGTTGCATCCTAAAGATAGCTATCAATAAGGTTGGAGATGCAACAACACCTTGTCTCCACCTTAAAGCTGATTTCATGGCTGCTTGAGCTTTAAAGGAGGTGTTCATATAGATCCTTAACTATTTGGTCCTAGATATGAGGTTCAATCTCCACAGTTTGCACATTGGCTAGTATCAAGCTGTAATGTTCATAGATGACCCAAAGGGAATTGTTCTCAAAGACGAGTAACAGTTGCCTTGTAGCAGTATTCTGTCAAAAATAACCACTCCAACCATCTCCTTCGCTTGTTGCTGCTGAAGTACCATAGAGACATTTTGATGGTGCGATTAACAACTTCAGTTTGCACATCTATTTGTGGATGCTAGATAGAAGCAAAAGGGAGCTCAGTAACAGAGCTCAGTAGTCTGCATAATTTAAAGATAGAGTTAAGAATAAAAGAGAAGCAGTGACTGCCGTATAAAGAGGTGCCACCAGGAGGAAATGAGATACTACCAGGACATTCTTGCCATGGGATGAGGGCAACCATCGATGATGTTCATTGAAATATCAGCCCATATTCGTGTAGTCACTTGCAAGAATTGGTGGAGACAAGTGGGCTGCAATTGCTTTATTTTATGTCACTGATAGGTGATGCAAGTCTAGACGAAGTATTGCACCTCCTGATTTTTCCCTCCAAATAGAAGTTACTGGTAATGTGCCTCAGCATTTTTTAATACTCTTCATGTCTTTGGTCATGGAGGACTGAGATAATGACTGATATTTTACGGTGCTGAAGGCAATAACCAAGACACGCCCTTCTTATGAAAAAGCAAGCCATTATGAAGTTCCCACAACGAAAAAAACCTCCTCGAAACAGAGAACTTTGATACTGTTTTGGTTAATAGCCCTATAATCAACATAAAACTTTCACATAATACCATTTTTTTTATCAACAATACAGAAGAAGAGAGAGCTGATGGACTGTGCCTAATAATCCCTTGCTAAAGCATTTCCGCCACCTCTTGCACTATCTTATCCTCCCAGAAATTGGGACTAGCGGTTAAGGTTTTGACACCACCAAGTTGGTATTGCCTTCAAAATAGATTACGCGATCATGCGAACATTGAGGCAGTAGTCTGGTTGGAGCTTGAAAGATGGCTTCATAGTCTAATAACAGAAGGTGCAGGTCTCCTTGTTGGGAATTGCCAGTAAAACTGCCACAACCCCTATACACCTTCGGTTGCCAGGTGGTTGAATTCCTTGTAGCTAGAGAAGTTTACCCTAGTGCCTACAGAAACCAATTGACCCCAAGTACTCCTCCAAATCTAAAAATGTGTTTTAACTTGGAACCACCTGAACCTTCCAACAAATACCTGTTCTTCATTCACAACCGTTACTCTGGGATGCCTATGGGGGTACATCTGAAGCAACAATTTTCCAGTTACAGGTCCATCAACAAAGTGGTGGCGCTGCCCAAATTTGCCAAGATGAGCAATTGGAATCCTGAGACAATGGCTTGAACCTTCATGCTACGTTGTTGCCCCTATAATGGCATTGACGGATATTTCCAAGTGCTCTTCCTCTTCTTGAGCCGACCTTGCTTTACCTACAATTTCCTCTTCTGCATACTCTAAGCCAAAACAACTTTTTACAAACATGACATGCTATAAAGTCCACAAATGAAACATCGACCTTTTTCTTTCTCCTCTTCATCTCCTCTGGGCACAGTTTTTTAATGAATGGCGGTCAGTTCACGGCTCATTTTAGATTACTCTCTCTTCCTTCTAATCAATGTAGCATTAGAAGACATGGGCGAAGCTCATGGTAATAGTGACATCTAGAGGATGCTGGAACTCTACCTGTATAGCTATGTGCACTTGCAGTCCACCGATGAAGATTTCAGCTTTCTGGGCAAGTGTGAGAGTCAAAGTGTGTGCTGAAAGCTGTTGAAAGCGCTGCTGGTTTTCGGCCTTCTTGTGGCAACTTCACCGACTCTCCCAATTTGTTTCTGATTCACATATAGAGTAATTCTTGAACTCTTCCCATGTTAGTTCCAGCCAATCACGCTTGAGCTCAAGGAACCAGAGCTAAGCATCATCCTAAAAGTGAAAAGAGATAAAGTCAGACCTTATCTTCTTCGGTCATCCACTGCTGACAGAAAAAATATTCACATCTATCAAGCAATCCGAATGAATGTGTTGCCATTGCGAAGAGAGAAATCAACTCTCCCCGCTACAGGTTGTTTGTTGCACCACCATACTTGGTGTTGGAAGTGTCTCTTTTGGTGGCTGGAAGCCCTTTGGATAGACTTTCAATCTGCACCCCAACTTCAACTCTCCGGTTGTTTGTTGCACCACCATACTTGGTGTTGGAAGTGTCTCTTTTTGTGGCTGGAAGCTCTTTGGATAGACTTTCAATTTGCACCCCAACTCTCTTTGTTTTTCCTCTGAGAGCACGCTGTCCTCTTGATACTACTTGAGGTACAATTCAAACTACAGTTGAAAGGATTTGAAATCCCCCATGATCACTCATCTGATAAGAAATTGTTACAGTCTCGTGCTTGAGATCGGGTCACATGGCCTTGGACACTTAAGTCGAGAAGCAAGCTGGTTGCTTGCTCTCCCAATTCAGAGTCTTGTCAACCCATGGCAAGGCTCCTTTAAAATGACCTATAATCTTTCAAGTATAAAATCTGATCTACTTTGATTGATGATGCATGCTTTTATTGACAACAATAAACTTATTTATAAGGAAGCTAATCACAATTAGATTCCTCCAACAACTACAACTCTAACGTTTTAGTTGATCAAAACTCTTTAAGTATCCTCTACTTCTCCGTCAATCATTATCCAACAGGAGTATGGATGAGGGTCAACCTCTCCTTTGTTGCTGCTGCCATGGGACCTACACTGGTAAGTTATCCAGTGAACTTTTCCAGCGGCAATAGGTTCTCTGAAGCATAACAAACTCGTAACCCTTCATGACATCGACCAGGTTATAAGAATTAAAAAAAGAAGTCAAACTTATGGGATGATTAGGATCCGAAAGATTAATGCTGTACCAGGTACCTGATATTGCAAGAATAACACCAACATCCTCAGTTGAAAAGCTCAAACCTCCATACTTCCTTGGGCTGACAGCCCATAATGAAAATATCTGCAGAAGAAGAATCAATTGCCACATACAAGTAGTTAGATTATTATCAGCATCAAAATTATTAAACAAAAGGAGGACTGAGAGGATAGTAGGAAAAGTAACATTCTTTTCTGTATATGAAGCTGGAATTAGCAGTTTGAATAGTTCATCAAATTATATGTGCAGATGACCAAAATTCTTTCAGTTATTTAAGTACGTTACCCATTCATTTGATTCTTCACTTACTAAAATAAAATGGATCGCAATTCATCCAGCAGAAGATTAATCCAAGAAACAGAGTTATAGAATTCACTGTTCAGTATGCAAGGACAATGTCTTTTTGGAAAGTTAAGCAAGCAAAGTCATGTAGATAGCATAAGCTCAGAAAACATAAATCAAAACATATGTAAATTCTATACATATAAACCATACCTCTGTGTAAGCCATATCATGAAGTGAGAAAACACAGTATACAATAATAGACGACATCAAGGGCCAGTTCCTTATGAGACTCTTCTTAGAAGAAGGTTGGCTGCCCTCAGTCTCTCGTTCTTTTCCTTGAATATTACATTCATTAGATGCGGCTTCCAAAACTTCATATGAGTCATCATCTGATATATTGTCTTTATTGTGCATGTGCAACGTTTCCTGCAATGACCGGTGGCTGTTAAACAAATAACTAGGGCCACAAATTGTCCAAAAGCTTAGGAAATAATCACAGCTAGAAACAAACTTTTGGACACTCCTTCAGATCTTAGTTGGGAAATACCATGAATACATCAAACATAAACCACTATTGCTAACTTCAACAGTTTATGGGGTGATCTCTAGCAGCTGTAACTAGAGACTATCTTATGCAATATTACATCAACTAACAAGGAACCTTGTTTTCTTTTTCTTTTCTCTCTTTGTTTTAGTAAGATTTGATCAATTATATCACCTTCCCACACCAACAACTTGAATAAATAAGGATTAATAATAAATCAAGTACTTATGATTTCCAAACAAGATAAATGCAACAAAAAATCAATTACAGATAAAAGAAACTACTAAGAAATGTGTACCGGAAGCCAGAGAGAAGCAATGGTTACTCCTAAAGCAAAAACTGATATACAGAGACAGGGCAATAAATATGGAAATCTGCAAATACAAAATGAATTTTTAGCATATCCTTACATGTTAAACGATGGAAAAAAAATGGTACTAAAAGAAAGGAAAAAAGAGAGATAAAAGTAGAGTGAACCTTGTTTACCTGCCAAATAAGGATTCTTTGGAGAATATGTTTGGATACTTCTCTGCTGGCTAAATTGAAAACAGTTACGAAACATGAGAAGAATAATCTTAGGGGAACAGAATCATAAATAGAAAGGGTGCATGGAGAGCAAATACTAATATAAGGTAAATTCAGGTATATATAGGCTGCTTAGGGGCAAGTAAAACTGGAATTTTCTACAAGTTGAAGAACAACCATGAAAAAGAGATCCTATATACAAAAAGCAAAAAACGACGTTCATCATCTATTCACTGCTTCATATCTGTAAAATTCATATGCTTGTCATTTCATTTGGGTCAAGTAACAATATCTTCCACATCTTTCAGCCCTACGCTAAACACTTTTCTCACAATAAGAAGTTGGAAAGTAATGATGCTACAGTATTGTTTTTGCAAAGGTTTTTCCCAGACAAAAGTTGTCTGACGTGCAGATAGTGTGGCATTCCTTATAAAAGATGAGACTAATCCCTCAACTATAATAAGTATAACATGCGCTAATTTGTAAACAAGCAAAAGAATTTGCAGCTGATAAATGTGAAAATAGAGAGATCAAAGTTCACAAGAATGTAGACATTGATTCATTATTTCTTATGCATAGTTTAGGTTGTTGCTACAGAAGGAATGACTATAATTTGAAATTATATTTCGTAGCATTTTGGAGGCCAACAAATTTAAGTACCTGTGCAAGAAAACCTCCCAGAGCTGGACCAATGACCAATCCTATGCCCCACGCTGTAGAAATCTGGAAATTTATAAATAATTACCATACAGCGCCCAAGATATCAAAAATAAACTCGCCAGGAAAGCTTACTGTTGACAATGCTAAAGCTTCGTGTTCATCACGGAAAACTTCACTTGCATATGCCTGGTCAATGAGCAAGTTAACCATATTCAGGCCACGAAAACTTGAACTAATTATATAAAAGAAGCACCAAAAACAGTATTGGACAAATAGGAACCTTTATTGGTCCAAGTAAACCATTCAAACTCCCAAGAAGAAACCTCATAGAAATTGCCATCCAAAAATTAACACTAAGGCCAAAGAGAGTGTTGAAAATAACACTGCATCCAGTTAAAATAATATATTCAATTTTATTTGTTAAAGTGAATGAAAAAAAAAGATCTGGAATGAATTCCAGATTATGAATATAAGATTCATGCATATGCAAATAGATTCTACTAACACTGTGGTACACCCGATAATCATAACAGGCTTTCGCCCATAACGATCAGCCACCATTCCCCAAATCACAGATGTCAAAGCTCTGCCAAGCATAAATGAAGAACCTTCAAAGTATCGAGACATTTGTTAGGAAAACTCGCTTCCCAGTTGAAATGTGATGGATAAAAATATGCAGGGGGAAAAAAAGAGAAGAAACTCACCCAAAGATCCTGCATAATAGCCAATTTCTTTTTCTGGAATACCAAAATCTTTAACCTGCAAAATGAATTAGCAGAACCATTAAGGAAAACCACTGGAACAAGTGACATTGGACAGGTTAGAGTTAATATTTCTACTTTGGTATGAAAGGTTCAACCTAGATATCGCATCTAGGAATTCAGCCATCCAGCAAGTCACTGGACATCCCAATGAGATCTCTTAAACAGCAATCTTAAAGTGAGATTTGGTTGCATCATAAAATCATATAGAACCAAGTTTGCTAAGAAAGTCTCCAAAATATAGCTCTTTAATTGGTAAAGAAAGAAATTAGAATGTATCTATTGCCTCTCATTTAAGCCGACCTAATTAGGACTAGAGCTGCTATTAATAAATCTAAGAGAAATTTTAAACTATAAATAGAATCTTATTACTGCCCATCTATTAAATACTATTACAACATTGTAGATTTGCAAGAACTAAATATCCTAATTTATTTAGGAAATGTTATTAAAATTTCTTCTGCCTCATAATGGAGAAAACTCTATTAAGTGATGTAATCGCACACCAAACAAGTACAAATATTTGAAATGGTTTATATATTTGTTTGGCCACTTTTCCTAATATTATATGGTTTTTTATTAGAATTTACCATGGCATAAGAACTAGTTATATCCCTCTATCCAAAAGTTTGCCCTGCTTGTGACTACTCACTCACATACATGCCGCGTGATGAGAGATACTCTGTCCATGCCTTGACTGCACATATACATGCTCCACTTAAGGGATATAATCCAATATCAACAGTATATGAATCTTAAATGTTAGAAAACAATTTATATTATCTATTGGCCAACTTCTTACGTCATGTGATCTTAAATTAGAATGTAACAAACTTGACTTCAAGTTTTCTAATGCTGAAGTGTCAAAAAACATAATCTTTGAAAATAACAAAAAACTTTTAGTAAACTTCCAAATCTATTATCCTCATTAAAAGTAAAAATATTGAAAACACAACCAGAAAGGAGTATGAAACATTACTTAGAATGAAATAGATGACACTGTTTATATATTTCTTTAAAAAAATAATGAAATAGATACGTTCCTGAGTTAAAGATCATAGTAATGGATTGAGAAATGTGGAATTAGGACTTAATGTCTGTGAGGGAGAACTCACCAATCTTCGTAGAATTATTCTCTGATAATCTTTTAATAATGCTTTGATAGTCTGGCCACATCTAACATCGATAAATACAATAAATATTAAACTGTTAATTTTAAGGATCTTTAGCTGATTCTATTCCCTAATAAATTAAGGATCTTTAGCTGATTCTATTCCCTAATAAATTAAGGATCTTTAGCTGATTCTATTCCCTAATTAACTTCAAAATTTCCTATCTTATTCTAGACCCCTAACACAAATAACATTTCTTTCCTAATTAAACTAAAATATAAAGTTTTTTCTAAGGAAAGTGTGGTACTGTGGAAGAGGGAGAGTGGATTTTAGAGGTCATGAAAAATCTTAATCATTGGAAAGTTAGAGAGCTCTATTTAGCCCTTGCTAGGGTTAGAGTTAATTGGACTAGGGACGAACCAGTGTGGAGGCTCAATGCTAGAAGAATTTCTCCAGATCTTTCTATAATCACTTGGGAGGTTAATGCTCCATCTAGAGTTTTTTTCTTTTCCTTTTTTTTTTTTTTTTTTTGCTTGGGAGGCTGGTAAAGGTTGCATTTTAACTCTGGAGCCAAACTACTAGCCTCCAAAAGTTCTAGTTCATAGACAGTTCACCAAGATCTTTCGAAACCGAACCATTAGCCTTCAAAAGTCTAAGCTCAAGTTATTCATAGCATATGCTTTGAATCCAAATAGAACTCAACCATTACATATCTTTCTCATGTGAGATTGGAGTATCACTGCCAGTCCACTAATCTATTTTTATTAGTTCCTTGTGTTGCTTCTTGCTTCCTCTTTCTATTCAATTGTTATTCTGTCCAAATTTAGTTCAGCAGGATGTAAATAAACTTTTACTTTGAAAGAGGAAAAAGCAAGA